AACTCGCGTTCTGGATCGCAATTTAAGCCGAGAAAAAAATTCTTAAAAGCAGTTATGATATTTTCTGAGATAACTCCTATGTTATTTAAAAACAATTGTATTACGTCGTGACGATGGAGATGTGTCAAAATAGCGGGGAAACACGTCAGATAATGTCTAACTATAAAATTCGACTACACCGATAGATTCTTCTCTCTTTCTCTGTCGCTTTCTTGTTGCTTGCTATATTTTATTTTCGTAAACGAAAGACGATACTTTGCCGAGCACTGGCCTATTTTGTAGCTCTGCTATAATGTTTACTGCGAATATACACGCGAATAGCAACGAAATTTTCGTGTGGGTGTGCACGCGCATACAATAATGCATTTTCATAGAGTCAAATGATAATGAGCGTGAGTCAGTAATAATTATCGCATTCCGTTCATCTTTGATAATTTTCAGGAAGTCATGTTCATAAACCATACTAGGTTTTATATTTAAATAAAGTAATATTGGAAAAAGCAGCAAGAAATTTTATTAAAAAGATTGACATTTTCAATAAACAGAAGATAATGTTGTCTTGTAATAATTTAAAGTAATTTAAGGATTCATCAAATTATTTTTTCACAAAAAGACTATTTTACAAACAATAAAAATACATTTTTATTAAATACAGTGTATTTTATCTAACACACATTCCATAACTATAAAATTATAAAAGCAGAGTAAAACCTCTAATTAAAATTCTGCAGTAATTTTGAATTAAATTTTATTATATATTTTTAGTTTTATTTCATTTTGTTTTTCTTCTGTATTTACTTGAAAATAATTTATTCGATAAAATAATAGAACTGAACTCGTAAGAAGTTGAAAATTCGATCCAAGAATAGCAACATGCTTCTTTTTAAATTCACCTTGTTTAATTAATATATTTTAATCGCATTTTTATGAAACCAAACTGCGAAGAAAAAAAAACTACAATTTTTAATACAAAAGGAATCTTTAAAAAGCGGATTAACGTATCACAGTCATAAGTCACGCTGATTATTTATCGGAAGTTCTAGATGCTCGATCTCTGAAACTTCGGAGAGGGGAAACATCCGATATTTCAAGGGGTACTAACTAGCGACGAGTTATGCAAAAATAAACTGTTCGAGACACGTGCTCGCCTTTCCTCCTCCGCACGATTGCGGACAGAATTAACGAGATTTTGCAGCTGACAAAAGTTACAAAGTTAAACGAAGAACGTAATAACACGAGTAAATATTTCGTCGAATTATTCAATTATTATATATACATATTAATTAAGATTATCTTCTAATTTAATCTGAACATAGAAGCTTATCAATGTCTGATAAAAAATACTCTTTAACATGGGATCCTTAACTTTATGGTAGGGGTCTAAAAATTAATCTCAAAGCAAAGTTGCAATTTAAAGGTCATATTAAAAAAAAACATAATATACAAAGCAAAATAAAAAAACTTATAAATCTTAAGTTGTTTGTACTGTAAAGCCGATAAAGGCGACCTTCGTAAAAATTTATTTTTGCTTTATTTTTACTTTTAAGTTATTTTTATATAACGTATACATTAATGTTTTGAAGAAAGAAGGAAGAATAAAAATATATTTTTAAATATCTTATGGCTCATAACATTTTGCATAATTGTTGTCACACATCAAATTAACATATAAAGCTCTGATTATGATTCCAAGTCATTTTTACGCGAAATGAAAATTGTATAACAAGGAGTTAAAAGAATAATTCTCCCGTTAAGATATATCTGTATTAATTGCAAACGTTAACTAATCTCGAACGTTTTGTCGATCGTTATCGAGGAAGATTAAAAATAGTTTCGATACTGTTATGCGTAGCATTATTATTCCACAAATCTCGAGGGCAGCTGAATTTTGGTCAGCATAATTTTACAAAAATTTTACGAAATATTTATTGTATATATGTACACATACGCATACGCAGTATATAGAAGTTCGATCGAGTAGTTCGTGTCAACGACGGAAATTGGAATGTCGATGATTTAAACGTCCCCGATTACGTTATTGTAAAGCATCGACAGATATGCACGTCATATACCACAAACAGTCCTTCCGAAACCAAGATGACATACATAGAGATGCATCAGACGGTTAAATCAATCTCAAAATAACAGGGCAGATCATCCTGATCATCGAACACGCGGTGAAAGGAATACTTTGACAGATAATTATTCAGGGTGTCTAGTAAAATTTGAAAATGAAATTGAAGGACATTTCCAAGACATTTCAAGGAAATTTGCACAATTTTCCAATAGTATGATAAAGATGTATATAAGGAACCGAAAATTTGTTTTTCATCAAGTTGATATAAATTGCACGTTAATGAAAATTAATATATATACATTAAAAATATTCGATATAATATTTTTTTTATATTATATTATGTTTGAACTTTTAAAATCTACAGAGAAAATTTTTTCTTAGAATTTACCCTGAAATTCATGATAATCGTGGAACAATATGATATTGGAAGAATTTTATACGAGTTTCTCTGATTAATATTTACTGCAATAAAATATTAATATATTTTTTTAATACTTTTTTATTGTGATAAATATTTAAGCAGAGAAACTTTTATAAAATTCCATTCCACAATTTACTATGATTTTCAGGTTAAATTCTGAGAAAAAAATTCTCTCCGTGTATAAACAACTTAAATGCGTAACACATTTTTGGATTTCGTAAATACAAAATATATTGTATTATTTATGAAATAAGATTAAATATTTTTACTCGAATAGTTTCAGCTGACTCTTTTAGCTTAATTTTTAGAAGCAACGAAAAAAAAGATCTACGAAAAATTTAAATACATTTCCAGGATTTTTAAAGGAGAAACAAAATTCCAGAACATTTCAAGGACTTCAAGGATTTCGAAGACAGCTAGACACCCTGTTATTACTCAATATTCAAACATTTTTTTCTTTTTTTTTCATTTAAGACGATCCATTTAAATTTAACCTATGTGATAATATTTTGCAAAGTTTCCAACTTTTCATTAAAAGCAAACGGATATAAATTTTCGAGTCGAAGGTGCTAATCAATGATAATAAAAAACGCGAAGATTACGAAACGGATACACTCCTTTACGCGTATGGATGATGGCATTGGAGTGTAGAATACGTATAGACGTGGCGAAATGTTGAAAAACAATTCCACAACCGGATCTTACGAACGATACATAAGTAATCAACATTGAGAGAAAACTACAGACTTGGAACACGTGTACGAGGAAGTGGCAGGCACCGATAGTGGGGACGAAGGCAACACGCGTCGCCTATACTATTCACTTATACGACGACGACAATGTACGTACGTACATACCAGGCTGATAAAGCGACTTTTACATCGACTCTCCTCGACCCCAGTAGCGAGCAAAACGCGCGATTATATATTTTCACGAGCGCCACGCGATTATCGCTTCCGCGCGTGCTACGCATAATATAATGTGAAATAAGATTAATATATCTGCATACAAGGAACATCTCTAACTAGTAGCATCGTGTCTTTTATCTTTCATTCTGTGGATTTTGTGCAAAAAAATTTTGATCGATTTTGTTTCACTTACAATTAGTAAACGCGAATGAATTTAAATCGAGTCGATAACAATTTTTTGTAATTTATCTGTCAACCTAAAATCTTGTTACGCATATCTTACATGCAGGGGATATCTTTAACTATAGTAGCATCGTGTCGTTCATCTGTGGATTTTGCGCAAAAAAATTAAAATCGATTTTTTGCACTTATTAAAAGCGAATGAACTTAAACCAAGTCGATAAAAATTTTTATCTGTCAATCTAAAATCTTGCTGCGCATAACGTGAAATAAAATAAATATCTTCTATAAATAAAATACATCTCTAACTATAATAGCATCGTGTCTTTCATTTGTGGATTTCGTGTAAAGTTAAGATCGATTTTTTTTCATTTATTAAAAGCGAATAAATTTAAATCGAGTCAATAGAAATTTTTAAAATTTATCTGTCAATCTAAAATCTTGCTGCGCATATAATGTGAAATGAAATAAATATCTTACATGCAGGAAACGTCTCTAACTTAGTATAGCATCGTGTCTTTCATTTGTGCAAAATTAAAATTTTTTTCATTTATTAAACGCGAAGGAATTTAAACAGAGTTGATAAAAATTTTTAATCTTGTTACGCATAATGTGAAATAAAATAAATATGTACATACAGGGAACATTTCTAACTAGTGGCATCGTGTCTTTCATCTGTGGATGTTGTGCGAAATTAAAGTTGATTTTTTTTTAAATTTTTTAAACGCGAATAAATGTAAACCAAAGTTTTTATCTGTAAATTTAAAATCTTGCTATATATATATATATATATATATATATATATATATATATATATATACACACGCATAATGTGAAATAAAATAAATATACCTATACATACAGGGAACATCTCTAATTAGTAGCATCGTGTTTTTTATCTATGAATTTGTGCGAAGGAATAGATTTTTTTCATTTATAAAACACGAATAAATTTAAATCGAGTCGATGAAAAATTGTTATCTTTCAATATCGATTAAAAATCTTTCTATAAATTAGTTGGGAAATAAATGAGATAATCTGATCAAAAGTGGCTCGGCGTAATCTTGGAAACCAGAGATAATTCTCAGACACGTGTATATTGTGAAACTATATACATTGTATATCAATGAATATAATTCACTTTTCCACAATACGGAGTAAAACGATAAAGATACAAGATTCCTCGCTTTACTTCTCAACTTTGTTTCGTAAATCAGTCTAAATCAAAATGCTACGTAAATTCATGAATGATTTATAACCTACGATAATTTATACGATATTAGAAGAGCTGCTTATGTGGGCCTTTTGTGAACAGGAATCTTTCAATTGTGTCAGATGCATGTAAATGAATCGGCAAATCTATATCGAATATTCCACAAGAGGTCAAAGTGTACAGAAAAAAAAATTGACTCACCATTGAGACCATATTTCTCCTGGTTTCTCTTGACTTGATCCGGAGACAGTCCATGGTCAGCATCAACACTGAAGTAATTTACTACTTCTTCCACAGTTTTACAATGGGCGTCTTCCATGGTTACTGCTTCGTAGATGCTTCACTAATGTTATCCTCTCAGTGATTGTATACGTTCATTCACACTAACAGTCTCTGAAAGTGAAAAAAATTACTTGTTAAATATAATGTTTAATATTATAATGGTTATTAAATAAATAGTAAAGAGAGAGAGAGAGAGAGAGAGAGAGAGAGAAGGAGAAAGAGCAAAATAGATTTTAAGCTGCAAGAAAAATTGCTTTAATCTAAACACTTGAGTAAATCTAAAAAATAATATAAATTTCACAATCAATAAGAGCCTGCTATCGGAGTGAATGAAATGATAACTTCTAATAATTTTTCAAGAATAGAAGTACTATTTATTGCGTAGAATTGCTATTTTAAAATTTAAAATTATAAATTTGATTCAAAATTGATTAACATTTTATTCCTTTTTTTTAAATGTCAGGAAAAAAACAGCATTATTTTTTTACATCATACATTCACAAAAAAAAAACTTATATAAATTTTTATTCAATATCAACAGCTATTTATATATGATCTTTTAATATTGACACACATCCTCGACAATCTCAAATTATATATGAATAGGTATATAGAATTGAATATTATTAATCCTCTAAATTAATTCTACATTTTTGCCATACAATTACATGTGTTTCTAATTATTTGGTTAGTCTCTGGTGTAAGAAATTTTCTCCTTTAAATCGAGTCTTCTTATATTTAAAAAATCTATAAATCATGCATATTATATATGATCGAGAATTTTATCATCTTCTACGAGACTTCCAGTCTGAGGTGCACACATAATTAATCCTTAACCAAACGTCGCTATCTCTCTCCAGATTACACTCTTAGCAACAATGTAATCAGCTGAAAAAACACGACTAAGTTTCACACTATAGAGAGCTGGTACACTGAACCTTAGATTCCAGACTTGTAGCAGCGAAAGAAAGAGAGAGAGAGCAAAAATCCAGGGAGAATTCCGCGCAAATCTAGCGCGTGTCGCGGATTCCGGAAACGGACGTGAAAAAGAGACAGACACAGAAAGAGTGAGAAAGAGAGGAGAAACAAAACTTCAACCATACCGAGGATGACGTCGAGACGCAGGGGACCGTCCCACGGCGAGGCTGTTCCGTCTCCTTGCGAAATTACGAAACGCGAGGACGGGTCGGCGCGACTCGTCCTCGAGGACGAGGACGACGGGACGAGCGCGACGCGCACTTCGTTATTTAGACTCACTGTTTCGAGGGCGACGTGTCCTCGCGACATGCACTCGCGGCTCGTTACGCGACTATCCTCGGCGGTTTTATTATTTCTGGCTCGCGTTTGTGCAGCACACGGAGCGAGGAAGCTCGCCGCACTCGTTCGGACACACGACTATCGTTGATGACGACGTGTCAACGTGGAGCGAGATGGAGGAAGGGATGGGAGAATGGAGTAAGAGAGAGAGAGAGAGATTGAGAAAATTACGTTACGGCAGCCGAATATTTAGGTTAGCCGCGTCAGCGACGACACGATGACGGCAGCGAACTTCACTACGGATCACGATATACGCGAGGGCGACGCCGCTTCCCCGGTTCTTTCCGGGAGGGAGAACGACGAAGGGAAGAGGAGAAAATAAAGTACGACGTGGCTTACACTCCCTGCCCGACGATGCCTGCCCGTTGCTCCGAATCGCACGCGCGAGCTATCACGAGGCGCGGATGCACGAGACGCACGTCATTTTTCTACCGTAACGATGAACTGATACAACGACTGTGCTAACCTGACCTCCGCTTCCGCGAGACTGACATGACTATGACTGGCGAATCGGGCGAATCATCGCGCCGGCGCGGGCGCCGCCTGGCGGCAAGCGCGAGAACTAAATCGGCGGCGTCTTCCCGCGCGCGCCCAAGAGTGGATATGTTCAGACCGCACTTTCTCGCGAAACCGAGGACTTGACGCGAATTCTAATGGTGAGTTTTGTGAATTTTGGAAACAGTTCGGAGGAATCTTTTCTTTTTTGTTTTAGAATTTTTTCGGAGCAATCTTTGACGTTTAGGCGTCCGGATATGACTCTCGTCGGCGCGCGCTTCTCGCGGACAGCGAGTATGTGGAGCGACGCCATTGGCCGAGCGGAGTGACGTGTACGGCTATTTTCAGGCTACCGCCAGGCTATTTCCTTGGCGCGTATTTTAAGACTCCCGGCGGGACGGATCGCTCGCGCGTGTTGTGTTGTCGTGTTACGTAATCGCCGCGTCGCGGCGATAAGTCGCCTGCCTTCGAGTGTAACCGCGACCAAGTTTGACGCGACTTTGAACCTTAACCCTTTGACGTTCGGGAATAGTGAGAGAGTGTTGGAGATAAATTTTTTGACGTTTCGACTATTTTTGAAGGTCTTACGCGCAATGTCGTCTAGCAGCTGGGTTTTCAACGAAGAAGAAGACAGATTCCTGACATATTTCATTGTCGAGATGAGATGTTTAGTCCATCCAAGCAAAGGTATGTGATGTGTATTATTATGCGCAGTCACACGTGTGTATGTGTGTGTGTATGACGTGATTTATATGATTTATTAAATCAGTGAGGCACAGACGAGTTTAGTAAAAAATTCACGACTAATTATTCGGAATTATAAATAAATAATGATAATGATGGTAGAGGAAATAAGAATTGATGAATATATTATACGCGTATAAATGAAATATAATATATCTATACGGAGAGAATTTTTTCTTCATTATAATAGAATTTACCCTGAAAATTATAGTAATCGTGGGATAATATGATATTGGAAGAATTTTATAAGAGTTTCTCTGATTAAATATTTATTACAATACAAAATGTTAATATGTACACAGTAAAATTAATCGAACATAAGTATTTTATATCTTATTGTGGTAAATATTAATATTTTTATTGCGCTAAATATGTGATTAATCAGAGAAACTCTTATAAAATTTTTCCATTATTATATTGTCCCACAATTACCATGATTTTCAGGATAAATTTTAAGAGAAAATTCTTTCTGTATGTTTATTATCAATGTTGAATTTCAAATTTTTCCTCGCGGTTCAAGGTTAACGCGACACGATCTCAAAATTCGAGTCAAGTTCAAACCTACACAAGCGAAGGTCATTATATTATTCCATTTAAACGGCTCAATTTTATCGGGAATTAAAATCAAATTTGTTCCAGCTAAAATTGATTTGCATACGTAATTTACAAAATATTTCTTATTCGATCGGCTTTGCCTTATGTAAGCTCGTTTGCGTATCGCTTCCGCGAAATTTCTTTACCACACGATTATTCATATATTTTCCGTGGGAGCACATTTGCTAGCAAATGATTAAATACACACATCCATCATTCTGCTGACATCCCTCCATCGTTCCATAATTATTATTGGTTGTTAACTCCCTGTTTTAATTTACAAATTCGCGGTGACGCGAAGGTTGGAATAAAGAGCGCTTCGAAATCTTGCTAAAATACTGGCAAGATTCCAAAAGATGTCTGAAAAGTGTATCTAGAATTTGCCGGATATTTCGGACACTGTTTAGAGATGTATTTTATATGTTTCTTGGACTTTTATCTTTGGAATTTCGGCAAAAACCTTTAAAGAATATTTCTTGTCCGATTTAGAACACAAACAATATAAATATATTGAATGTGTGTGTGTGTGTGTGTGCTGCAATATATATATTTTTTAATTCTAAATATTTCTTCGGAGACTTGGAAGAAATTGGAGAAATTAAAATTAAAACAGCTTAAATAAAACATTGTATATAATATTGTCTATTTTTTATAATATACACACACAACACCTCTAATTAAAATGTGCTGTTAAGTTGTTAATTACACATATCCATAATTTTCACGTTAATATCATTTTTACAAAATGTTAGCTTTTCATTATAATTTCTGTTAATTAAAAATAAGTAACGTGATAATTAATTGTACGTGCCACGGTGGAATTCCGCGATATCATTTCCTTTAAATATCAAATACCTATCAACTGTTTTTTTGCCATGTTAATTAAAATAGCTTGGATATATTTAAAATAACGCAGATATATAGAACGAAAAATCTGGCAGGCAATCAATTATACGATCCTGACAGTTTTTTAATAGATTTTTTGATATTAACTTATTAATCAGAAAATCGTAAGAAATCGTGATCGAAAAAAGAGTTAAAAATTTGATTACATGGAAAAATAAAAAATAATTATTGTGATACTATTTCGTTTATTCATTACATTAGACACAAATTAATCATCCATGCTATATTTTTAAATTTAAAAATAAGATGACACGTTGAGAACGAATAGCCTGCTAAAATGTCGACAAGTTTTGAGATTAATTAAACACGTCGCATTCAATTCCCATGATACGCTTTTTAATCAACGCGGACGTCAACTCTTCTCGTGATTGCTTGGAAAAGTTGAGACAAAACGCGGTCAGAGCGAGGCAGTTGTGCTAAAATGATGACAAGTGGTTAATTACACACGTCACATACGACTCCCATAGGGTCTATTGTATATTCACATTCAAGGCCAGGGCACAAATCTGTGAAGCAACTTAATCGAAACGAAGGACACTCAATCCTCAACCGCGAGACTTGATTACGATCTTAATTTTCGGCAATTTTTTGCAACATTTGCTTGCGAATCAAAATATATATTTCTTCATATAAAATATATTTTTTAATATTCTTAACAAAATAATAGTCTATACTTCAATTTTATTGCGATTTCATGGACTTTTTTGGAAATCATTTTCTGTCAATTACATTTATAAGCATAATGAATCATATACGGAGAGAATTTTCTCTCTGAATTTATCCTGAAAATCACGACAGGACACTACAATGGCTAATTAATACGCGAATTTTCGCTAAAATTACACAGAGAGAATTTTCTTTTAGAATTTACCCTGAAAATCATGAAGAATTTTAGAAGAATTTCTCTTATTAATATTAACCACAATAAAAAATATAAATATATATATATATATATATATATATATATATATCTAGTAAATTTTCCTACGTACATGTGATAGAGATATTACTATTTTTTATCGTGGTAAAAATATGAGAATCAGAGGAACTTCAAATTCTTCCCGATTTCCCGGGTAAATTCTGCAAGAAAAAATTCTCCGTATAATTTTACCGCAAATCGCGTATTAATTAGCCATACCATACTAGTATCCCGTCAGCACTTACACCGGGGTTTTCCTCTTCACTCGGGGCGCGATTGAGGATTAAGGGATCGCGAATGGCAAGACTAACCCTCTGACTCAGCTGAGTGTCCCCTTCGACGGAGCGGCAACCGCTCACATCAGTTTGGTCCTTGAAGGACAGACACGCCGCGACAGATAAAGATACGGACTCGGCGAGCGGTCGCGCGGTACTGCGGGTACCAAGCGCGATACTCTCCGCTGAGGACTGCTCTTGCTCTTCCGAGGACTCTGTCCGGATCCAACGACCAGCTCGCTCGAGCGCCCGGGACGCGACTAGCCGGCCAAATCGCGCGCGCTCGAGCGGACGTTTTTAGCACATCTTCGACGACGACTTCCTAATTATTTTGGCAGAGATCAGTTCGCTCTCTCCCGATCTCCGGCATCGCGCCTCCTGCCTCTCCTCCTCCCCGAGATCATCCGAGAGGGTGGTTTCTTAATTTTTTACACTGCGAAATGTAAGAGGGATCTGTGGAGTTTGTTTGCTGCTTTTAGCAATCTCTCTCTCTCTTTGATTAATTAGGAAATATTTTTTTGTTCTACTATTTTAATTTTATTCATGTGAGAAATCAAATCTCTCAAAAAGGTACGTTAGATTTACTTATAAGGACTGAGAGTTGTTGAACTTCTATATGTTCAGAAACATAAGTGTTCGTTGAACTTATTTTTTTTTCTTGAAGAGATTAATACGTTATGTGTAGCAATAATTTACCAACAAACACGTTGCGTTGTATAAATTATACAGAGAGTTTTCTCGCGTATATGGATGCTTGAAATTTTAATTTTTTGAATTATTATTACATTGAATTATTATATTAAGTTTCGAAGATTAATGTGTGACAAATTCTTGTACAACCATTAAATTTGTAACGTGCATATATTATTGAAATAACTAGAATGTTTTTAAATATATTTGGGAAATTTTGCAACATAAAGGCGATAAAAGGATGTTTTATTAATTGAGAAAAATTTAGATTAAACAGATTAGGTTTATTTAATGATGATCTTTTTGTAACATGAAGACCTCTCTCGAGCTGCATCCTCTAATAAAACATGAGCGTACATTTGTTCCATTTTAAGCACAGAAAATGTGAAAAGTGCAGTTGCAGAGAGAAACAGACCTGGTAGTCATGAACTGGGTGAGTGCACCAACGTGAGGATTAGTAGAATCTATTTGAAGACGAGGTGCAACATGTTGGACGGGCCGTAAGGATAAGAAACGTAGCGCGTTTGTTGACAAACAAGTAAAGGTCGGGTTTGTATGTAACGAATGTTTCACATAGATATGAGGTAATCCTGCCTCGTTGGATCGTCCATCCTCGAGAAAAAGCAACATTCTCTCTCTCTCTCTCTCATGTATAAAATCGCATATGCAACTTTCCCGACTATGCCAAATGATTCGCCTGTCAACATGAGATAAATCTTCTAGGGATGTATTAAAATCATATATATGAATACTAAATAAATTTTCTATTTGAGATTTGTTCCGAAAATGTTCATGTTAATAATTATTAAACTTATTTTTTTTCCTTGGTTGAGAGGTTTACGAAGTATTATATAATTATGTACACGCTCTCTCTCTCTCTGCATAATTTATAGAGGCAGCTTGGCTCGCATATTTACAGACGTTTTAAATTTTAATAAAAAATATCAAGTATATTAACATCTTTCGAATCATTATTATTATATTGAAATATTCAATTAATTAAATTATAAAGATTAACGAAAAATTCTTGTATGATATAGACGCAGTATAAAATTGTGAATTTGCTATGAATTTATTTAAGTGACTTCCGTTTAATTGGATCGTCGAATCAAGAGACAGCAATTGTTGGTTTACAAAAACTTATTGCATATTGATCTTTTTTCATCAATCGAGTAATGTCCTCTAATATTGGCGATGTCTCTATGTTTTGCTATTGTGACGTGATGCCATATGCTAATGTTGGCGCGTATATAAATGCGTGTTTCGATTTCCGCCCGGTTGCGGACAGTGCACGCATTAGCACGTTCCTTCGTATGAAATCATCCATCACGTATTTCTGCCTTGAGATCCATCGCCAAAGATAACAAAATGTCTTTTTAAATTTTTAAAAATACTTTCGTACGGGGACCAGCAAAAATTGAATTCGAGGTACGTAAAAACGTGGAAAAAAAACCCGTCCGCGCGCAGTTTTACGCTTTAAAACATTTAACGTTTAATTATTCCGCTGCAGGATTAAAACGTTAGTTTATTAAATTTGGGAACGCATAATAACAAGCTCGTATATACAATATAGTATATTTTTTTTTCTCCGCGCGGTCTACTATCTTTTACTAACGCGCGTGGATTTATTCTCATTAAATGTCGCGTCTCTCCTTTCGTCGCGTAATATACTGCGATGTGATGTTTTATAACGGCGTTTAATTATAGTTTAGGATTGCACAAATTACGTGACGTCGCGAGTCGAGGTAATTTCTCGGTCCGCGAAAATTGTTTTACGCGCGCGCCAACGCAGCGGTGACCTACAAAAACTAAAATGAATTCTTGGCTCTAGTTATTATAGGTCGCGTAATACGCGCGACGAGTGTTATAATTTAACCAAATTTTATAAGATTTTCTTTTTTTTTTTTTTTTTCGATGCAAGCTTATTATATTACGTACGAAAAAATTTGACGGCGCTTCGAAATATTTTATTTCACACGGGACAGCATACTTTTGATCCGTGTATTTTGCTTCGCAAGCGCTTATTATGCAATCAGTGCAAGAGGATTTCTCGCATTCATTTAAAATAATAAATTTAATGATGTTTATATTCAATAACGACGAATGCAATATTAATTATATCCAATGAAATAAATACAAGCTATTTCAATTATAAAAATCGTTCTCAACAATTGGACACTTTTATATATTTATTCCAAATCTCATGTTTGCCTAAGAAGAACTAATGCTCTGGAGCATGCTTGGCTAGCCATTTAAGAATATTAATAAAATCGTTAAGGAGGCATCTGAACATTCTGACAGATGTTGCTCAATTCACACGCGCGTACAGTTTCAGAATTTCTGGATTCTGTACGGTAGGAAAACACGTGAGATTCTACAAATAGCAGGCAAACTCGGGATTCATGCAGCTCACTAATATCTCTAGGGACACTTCCTGTCTGACAAACTATTCCAAAGAGTAATTAAAAGCCATTATCGTGCTTTGAACTGACAAGAGGGACTTTCTGTAAAAAATTCACTATACCCGAATCGTTTCCGAATTTCCCGAAATATTTCGAATTTACATTCCAATATCAACGAGCGAGATTTTCGATCATTTTTGCCAGCCAAAAATGTCACTGTGGAGCTACATATCCTTCAACGTAACTCATCGACCCTTCGACACGGTGTGAATCGAGATTTCTATATATATATTCACAACGAATTCGAGATATCAATCACAATAATGATATTCAATGATCCTTCACGGGTTAATCCTTCTTGACTTTTCCGTCACTACACTCGCGCTTCCTCCCTCCTGTGAGTTCTCCACTTTTCGGAGGATTCGTCACTGAGCGCGATCACACGAAGAACACTATGCAACTGCATCCCACAATTTTGTGCGGCAAGTGGACTTACCAGAAATTAATTTCTTCAAGTCTTGAAAAAGTTTCACTCGGACGTGTCGCGGGGGAGGGGGTGGACCACCCCCGTTAAACCTTACTCTCCCTTTCTCTCTCTCTTTCGTTTTTTTTCCTGTTTTCTCTTTCGATGCTCACTTTTACTCCTCGATGCGCATCGTCGTTCGTCGACGTGCCGCTCTCGACTGGGCCCTTCTACGACGTCGTAGGAGAGTCGTGTACGCGACGGTAAAAGAGGGAAGCGGAACAAACAAACATTCAAAAGGGGGCAACGTCTGCGCTGCTGACAAAACGAAGCGCCGAGGAGCCGCGAAATTCGTTTAAATACGTCCGTAGACGTCGCTACCTGGTGGCGAGACGGCGAACAAAGAAAGACCTATCTCTGGCCGGACGCCAGTGGTCCCGGCGGCTGCTGCGGATATGTCGTCGTCGTTTTTTCGCGTTTAACCTTCGAATCCGGAGAGTCGAGAAAAATAAGAGGAGATATGAGACCGACGTCCAGCCGCTTTTTGATCCGACCGAGCATTTCGATTATTGAAAGCAGGGTGGGTTGATTATAGGCGGAACAACTCCTATAGGGGGTTGAAACTCGATGAATAAATTCCGACTTTTTTAGATTTTTCAAGACTAGGAATTCATTTTTTCCCCTCACTCTTTAGTACAATAAAACAATTTGTTAACTTGACTAAACCTTTTAACTAAATCACCATTTTGTTAATTGAACATATATTAGTTATACGTTTTGTTAGATTTAATATATCACATTTAATTTAAATATTTTTATACGTTGAGTTAATAAAATAATATTTAGTTGAAAGGTTTAGTCAAGTTAACAAATTTTTTATTACAGTGTATTATTTTTTTCCAAATATACAATTTGCATATATTTATATGATATATCAATTAAATGTTAAATCATGAAATTCTCCAGATATTTTTGTCAACAATGAAAAGGTTCGGAAATTAAAAAAACAAAAATTTAAATTATTCATGCTGCATTATGTACGATAATCGAAACAAATTTGTCACTATAAATTATTTAAATAATCATCTTTTTTATTTATATTATATCAAATTTTTTACTTTTGTTTCTATCAAACATATTGAATGTAAATGAATCGCTTTTTTAACAACACAAAATTAGTGTGTAGGGAGTCAAGAAAAAGTTTATATTTATTTAATAACCGAGCATTTCGATTATTGAAAGCAGTGTGGGTTGATTATAGGCGGAACAACCCCTATAGGAGGTTGAAACTCGATGAATAAATTCCGACTTTTTCAGATTTTTCAAGACCAGGAATTCATTTTTTTCCTCACTCTTTAGTACAATAAAACAATTTGTTAACTTGACTAAACCTATTGACTAAATCACTATTTTGTTAATTGAACATATATTAGTTATACGTTTTGTTAGATTTAATATATCACATTTAATTTAAATATTTTTATACGTTGAGTTAATAAAATAATATTTATTTGAAAGGTTTAGTCAAGTTAACAAATTTTTTATTACAGTGTATTATTTTTTTCCAAATATACAATTTGCATATATTTATATGATATATCAATTAAATGTTAAATCATGAAATTCTTGAGATTTTTTTGTCAACAATGAAAAGGTTCGGAAATTAAAAAAACGAAAATTTAAATCAATCATACTGCATTATATGTACGATAATCGAAACAAACATGTCACTATAAATTATTTAAATAATCATCTTTTTTATTTATATTATATCAAATTTTTTACTTTTGTCTCTATCAAACATATTGAATGTAAATGAATCGCTTTTTTAACAACACAAAATTAGCGTGCAGGGAGTCAAGAAAAAGTTTATATTTATTTAATAAAAAATTTCAAATTATTGAGACAAATGTAGAATAATGTGAAAAAATCCAGATAAATAGTAAAATTTCCTGACCTCTCTTTCCCTGACAATATCCGGTTTTCCAGATTTCCCTGAAGTTCGCTAGACGCACTCTAAGAATGAGAAAATTATAATTCTGAAGTAGTTTTTTGCGGCTGGTATAAACTGACTTTGAGAGAGTACAGTTGATAAATAAAAAGATAGATCAGGACGGATAGTGAAATGGTTTTCTTTTTTAAGATAACAAGAATATGCTTTATTTTTTTAGGACATCAAGGCACTCGAACAGAATAAGTAAATAAATGATTAGATAAAAGCGATAGTAGATCATACGATTTTTCTGAAAATAATTATTTATCAATAAAAAAAATTCACAGATATGAATTACACAAACCTCTGGAAAATATGTTTCTGAATAATTAAATAAAAGCAATGGTAGATCGTACATATTTTTGAATCTTTTTTTATCTATACTTACAATTAGAGGAATATATAAATTTCAAATTTAAAAGATAACAACATGCTGATGTTTCGAAACAATAATTATTTTCTAATAATTATTTTCCAATCAACAATATTTAACATTGATCAATAAGAAGGTATCATAACTTGTAATAATTTTTAATGACATTGTGCTGATCGACAGATCGACATACAGAAATTAAAAATCTTTCAATAAAGCTAGAAAGACTCATGAAGATAAAACATATCAGGATAAAAATTGTTAAAACAATCGCGTGTCTTTTAGGAATTAAAACACGATCGAATTCAGAATTCAGCTATAAATACGTAACTTCGACCATGCTCGTGCGGCATTATTCTTATTAGAATTATACAAGACATACGTTTTCTTCAAGAACGAAAATAGTTGATTGGCGGATATCCAAATGCGATATCAGGTACAACTTCGAGGACAATTCATCGCGAGCGATTTGCTAAGAGATTTGTTCTTTGCCCATCTCATATTAACGTTATTAAGATTTTGCAGTGAAAATTTTTATTCTCCTATCCTACATATATTTTTAAAATACCATTTTTCTTTTAATGAATATTTTTTGCATTTCCAACAAAGAGATACTCGTACAAGCAATCCTTTTTTTTTTGAGTATATTCTAATATTTATATTTTTCATTAATTTTTGTTTTGTTTTTCATAGAGGTAACATGAATAAAAGAGGGAAAGATGTCTTCTTCTCAATTTTTAAATTTAATTAATGTATAAAAAAATAATTGAAAATTGTGGATTTGCAAAATATAATTTTCATGTGTTACAAAATTGATCGCCGGGATTGCAATGTATGCTTGGCAATTTTTCGTCGAGATAACATACTCACTGTATGCGAATCCATTAGCAGAGAAAGCTGTCGTATCGTGCTCGAATGGCGGCAAAATTGCGCGTTTCAAGTATAAGCGCATCTTGAGAGGCGCGAAAAAAGAACGCGCGGCAGAAAGAGTCAGGTCAACGGTCTGGGTTTCTCAAATCCTAAATACGTACAAGTATCCGTTCGTAAGATATATCACTCGCGGCTTCTCGTCGAATTTGCCAAGTCCAGATTCGATTATCTCGCGCATGAGATCGCATACTTGATCAAGGTGCAACGTAACATGACGAATTAAATTACTATATAAAATGTTCTAATTTTACTCACTTTAATAGCAGTAGTGCCTATTTTACAAAATTGCTTGGCTCTCGATCTACCTCGGCAAAAAAAAATAATATTAAAATATAGAGCAGATTTTCTGATACTATATGGTAGATATATCAATTAATATTAATATATTTTTTCAAGCCTGTAAAAGATTATATTCTAATTTTGCGAGATTTGTCACTTATAATTTTTAAAATTGTCAAAAGTATGAAACAAATATGGTTAAAATGCAAAGTTTCTTGGATAATATTTAATGCACGTTTGACACACATTTATAAAGTAATACATAAGGCAATTTCGTCGTGTCAAAAACTTTTGTGATCAATCAAGTGGATTGACAGGCGCAAACTTTACAAAACTTTTGTTGCGACAAAAAGATGAGAATAGACTGTTCGAAACATCGGAGATAAGTGCGAAAAAGTGTGTCATAAAGGCGCGGGTGCTTTCCAAGAAGATCTCTTCGTCGCAATATACTTCAAAGATGAAGCAACGAGCAATCTGGATAAACATGTCGATGCCACATACATTTTATCGCGAAAGTTAGTGCCTTGAATACGTTTATTTTAAATACATCAATGGCCGTGCAACGTTAACGATTATGATTCAGTAACAGTGTTCTGGAAATACTTGCGCGGGCAAATCTGTTTCTTAATATTGGTATGCATAATCGGAGTATATTAGCATCATATCTCTATATTAGCGCGATATTTCCTCAATTTATTTTCTAGTCACAGAAATTATAGCAAAATTAAATATTCGTCAATTCTCTCACTCAATTATGCAACCTTCTTATAACATTTTTTTGACAACTATACATATGATTTTTGTTACTAATAGTATTGTAGTGAATAATGTCTTATCATAATAAACGTAGAAGAAATTTCTGAAGAATTATTCTGTCATTTCAAATATTAAATATCATTGAAATACCATTAAATACATTAACAGAGTGTTTAGCGGTCAGGGAAATCTGGAAAATCGAGCATTGTCAGGAAATTTTATAAATCTGAAATTGTCAGGAAAAAGCCAAAAAATTTATCCGGATTTTTTCATATTATTCTACATTTGTCAATAATTTGAAATTTTTTATTAAATAAATATAAACTTTTCCTTGACTCCCAGCATGCTAATTTTCTGTGTTGTTAAAAATCAATTCATCTACAGCGTATTCGTTAATTTATATTTTCATCGTCGTGTTGTTTTACTTCAATGTATTTGATAAAGACAAAACTAAAAAATTTGATATAATATAAATAAAATAGATGATTATTTAAATAGTTCATAGTGACATGTTTGTTTCGATTATCGTACATAATGCAGATTGTATAATTGATTTAAATTTTTATTTTTTTAACTTCCGAACCTTTTCATGGGTGACAAAAATATCTCAAGGATTTCATAATTGAACATTTAATTGATTTATTATACAGATATATGCAAATTATATATTCGGAAAAAATAATACTAAAAAGTCAGGGAAAAATAAATTTCTGGTCTTGGAAAATCTGAAAAAGTCAGGGAATTTTTTTCATTGAGTCTGCTGGATACCTTGATTAACTACGGACTATCTATCGATTAACTATAAAAATTAATTACCAAAATATTGTATTTTACTCGATATCAAGTTTTCTAATGTTGTGGAGTATTTTCATTGTGAATTGCTCCGAGTAAGAGATACACTCCTATCGACTATAATGCATTCTGAGATGTGTGCAAGCACCTATCGAGATTAAATAAATATATGTTCATGGCGTATCGAATAACAAAAACAGACGTACGCGCCATAAGCTGACAGGCAG